AGAACTATCTTAGGTTCTTTTCCAAAGATAGAGAAATCTATCTAAAGTATACATCCAGTTATCCGATATTCAGCCAAGAAGGAGAAATGATTATACCATCGTAGACCCTCATCAGAATGGGAGTCTCGAATGGAAAATATCCAACAAGGGATGAATTGAATACAGCTAAAATATCAAAAGATCATCAGGTAAAATCATTATTCTCAGTATGCCAAGCTATCCATTACATCAAACCAACGGATAATATCAAGGTCAATTACGGAAGTGAACATAAGATGATCATCAACAACTCCAAGGCACAACTCAATAGGGAAGAATGAGACATAATTACAAATTTTACAAAAGATTTCATCAATCTAGAAGGAACATTGGCCCCATTACCAACAGAACAGAAGAGACAACTGTGCGAATTATTGCAGCTCCACGAAGACCATATCTGTATCAACTGTGCAACAGACATGATCACCACCACTAGCAGCAATAATGGAGAGGAATAGACAAGGAATAAGGGATGACTCACCCCACTAAGAAAAAGGAATAGAAGAAGACAAATAATAGTCACCCCACTAAAAAGATGAACGCTCCTACCTTCATTTCCTCTGCACAAATGTAAATGTCTAGCTTTGTAAAAAGTTTGTTTGTTTGTTTTCTCACCTGTTGGAAGGTGATGTAAGCTCTTACATAGAAGCAGGCTAAGACCTGCTATAAATATGTATCATATCCCTCACAAGGAGGGCAGAGAATAAACGAGTAGAGTTGAGATTTCTCTCAAAAATCAAGACTTCGTCTTGAGGTGCTTAGGTACTGAGTGTTTGAGGTAATACTCTGGAGACACTCTTATCCCCTTCCAAAAATACCACACAACAAAATCATCAGACCATCGAAAAATTCCTAAACATAACTCCAACGATTATCTCCAGCATTCTTCACATAACATCACCATGAAGACGCTAAGCAACAAGGAATCAAACCATTTCAACTAACAAGAATCAGGTATGTCTGACAACCCTAGTACTAGTAAAAATCATTTTGATTATTTAAACCAGAATGAAGAAGAAAATTATTTCTTAGACGGTATCGTAGATATCAAAAAAATAAAAGAGCAAACTAATTTTACTTTATCAGAAACCCAAAATTTCATCACTAAGTCATTTTTATCTAAATTATTTGATAGAAAAAATATAATTAAATATGGAAAGATGATAGGAGAAACAGCTATACCAATAGAACAAACCAAAGGAGATTTTCTAATCCAAATAATAAATAAGGAACAAATTAGAAAAAAGTTATCAAAACTACAACAGGAAGAACGAAATAGAATAGCTTATATTCATATCAGTACGATACAAATTATTTTTAAATCAACAATGAAAATAGGAATAAGTGCGCCAATAGAACTAGAAAGAAGAGATGACAGGCTCATTAACAATGAAGAAAGCATAATAGCAAAAGGACAAGAAATTTAGGAGTAGGAATAATTAAATTTGATATTAATTTACAACAAGGTTTAAGTCTAACAGACGAAAATCTTGATTCCTCAATAATTATAAAATATGAATTTAAAAGAGACGATTTTATGAGAGAAAATAGTAAACCATTTTCAGTAACATATCAAATAAACTACGTTTTGACCAATAGTCATCATAGTTTAACATTCAAGGATAAAGAAGTAATTACCATAGAAGATTTATTTAAACCACTAATACATTTAGAATCCCCTATAAAAATAATTAAATCAGACTATAGTAATCCAAGAATTAGCATAGACGAACGACATCCCTCTAAAAGAATAACAAACAAGTTAAAAGAAGAAGAACAAGAAGAAAAAGAAGAGATAAGAAATATTACGATACTTCATCAATATGACGACAATAGTGAAATAAAGAAACTACTAGAACTAATCTTAGAATTAAAGGATAAGATATAAATACTATAATGCCTAATACTCACCATATAAATAAACTAATAGAAGGAATAGACGCTATCGATTTTACTTCAATAAACGATATCACTATGGTTACACTAGAACTATCATACTTTGTCTCAGATATTGTAGAAGAACAAATGAGTATCGGAACTACAGAAACATTAGAGGAAGCTGTTTCAAAAACCGAATTAATCACTGATATAATAACTAGTCTAACTAAAATAAAAAAAACTAATGAATATGATGCGATATCGATGAGCGCGATATTTAATTCCCGCGGTCCAAAAATGAAGGTTCGAATTCAACGATATAAAGATCAATTGGGAGCGTGTTTAATGGATAAATGGCGTTGCTACATGTCAATCACAATTGAAGGGAAGTGATTAATTCACGTGAAGCATGAATTAATTAATTCCCATGGTTTGGATTTATTCACGTTTAATGATTTGCTTTGGATGAAAGGGATTAATTAGTTTAGTGAATTAGTAGTTGGTTGGTGAATTAGTGCCAAGACAAAGCTTAAGCCCACGTGAAATATTGGTTTGTGAATGGAAAAAGAACGTGAGTGAAGAAGAAGGCTCCGCAGCCGGCATGAAGAAGGAATCAATTCCGCTACGGAGAAGGAAAAGGACAGCGGAGCGGTGCATTTGTGTTTATTTAATTAATAGTTTGTCTTATTAAAGTAGTATAATGTTTCCTAGTTAGTTTGAGATTTGTTTTCCTAGTCCTTTTAGGTTAGTTTTATGTTTTTTAGACCTCTATAAATAGAGGGTGTAAGACCTACGAATTTGGTACCCAATATTCAATTATCAATCAACTTTCAAGTTACAAGTTCATACGAACTAGTTCTTTGTGCAGGCTTCTGTTGAGAGTGCTCCAGGAGTTTCACGTGTCTCTTATCAACTAGAGAACGCGTCTAGTTGTGGCGAGCTTCTACCCAATAGCGATTGGCCTTATTCACGAGTGGGTGATTGTTTGATTGGTTTCATATACCAATTGGCCTTTCACACGAGTTGGAATCTGTTTGATCATGTTCCATCATTATCTTTTGTTCGAGTTCTTGTTCGTTGGAGAAAAGCTTCGAAAACCCATAAAAAGTAGGAAAGCTGCGTACTTTGGTCACATCAGAATAATTAAAACTTAGTAACAATTAGTTAGGGAAACTTAAATCTACCTGCAAAACAAAAAACTATCAATTAAACCATGTCACTATCTCCTTTCATAAGGAATATAATAAAAAAACTAAAAAAAGTAAAGCTACGTGAAAAATCATGCATATCACTTGCTTGGTATCAAATTCCTTGACAAGACTATTAAAATATTATATGAGGATATGTCAATTTGGAATCAAAAAATATGCAGAAAACTTTGGTATCACAGCCTACAAACCCAACCAAGTTAACCAACCCAAGAATAAGAATAAAGAATCAAAAACTAAAATGAGAAAGACATAAATGTGCAACCCGATTCAACCCAACGGGCTCACTTTGACACCCCTAATTTCAAATAATGTCATCCCCTCCACCAGAGTATATTGGAATAAACACCCTCATGCTCCAGGAAGCAGAGTCTATTCACAATGAGATAGGAACCGCTTGCAAATTGCACAAGCATTATGAGGAACTTGAAGGATATGTGGTCTTTCTCCATAAAAACATGTTCCTCGAGAATGCTACGAATTGCACACATTATGGCGCATGCGGAAATGAGTTGTTGCTGGACAATGTAACCACAAATACTGATTGATAAAGCTTCTCAGATTTCGATAATTTTTTTTTTTACTAGATTACCTATTGAAGTTTACTGATTTCATTACAATTTAAGTAATTCTACCATGTTTAATGAAAATAATAGATGCCTTACTGGGCTCAAGATAGGGTGCATAACCATGGGTTATGCACCCATCAATAACCAAATCTGGACCCTTCATTTAGAAAATCCAGATCTAAGGATGGAGAATTAAAGACTATTTTTATTTTCACTAGCTTTCTTAATTGACTCATATCTTTTTCGTTTTAACTCGGATTTTAATTTTTTTTGCACAGATGGAACGAGTTCACCGTGCTCTACAAAATGAGATCAATTTTCAATATTTTTTTAGGAAAAAAAAATTTGGCCTCTCGGTACCAACTGCATACCATATGGTATCTTCTTCGTTTTTAATTCGTTTTTGAAAATGTTTGCACAGCAGGGATGAGTTCATCATGATCTACTGGATCTACAAATTTCTGGGTGAACAAATTACAGGACCAAAAAATACCACACAATACCATACAATACCACCCCGGCGGGGTGGTATTGTATGGTATCTTCTTCGTTTTTAATTCGTTTTTGAAAACGTTTGCACAGAAGGGACGAGTTCATCATGATCTATTGGATCTACAAATTTCTGGGTGAACAAATTACAAGACCAAAAATACCACACAATACCATACAATACCACCCTGGTACGGGGTGGTATTGTGTGGTATACAATGTTAAAAGTCGTAAATTACAATTAATATACTTCTACTATCATGTATTCAACCATCCTACAGTATTGGTTTGTTCATACCACCATGGTACGTTTTTCAAAACATAGGTATGCTTTTATTTCAATACCAGTCAATACCATATGGTATAGGCTGGTAAAAAATGGCTCAATTTTTTTTGTTCGAAAAATATATTAAAGTGGATATCATTTTGAAGAGCACAATTAATCTGATCTAACTGTGCAAAAAAATTAAATTTCGACTTAAAATGAGCGAGAAATCGTTAGTCAAAAATTAAAAAGGGAAAAATTAAAGGCTTTCCATGAGATAGAGGATGCTGATGTGGACGGGTTACTCATGGTTACTCACCATAAGGTTACTGACTTGATCCATTCTCGTTGTGCTGTCCTTAATTAATTAACTCTCATATTCCAAAGCCATCCATTAATCCCAAGAGAAGGGTCGTCGCGCAGGGTTCTACAGTAAGATTGATCAACTCTATTATGTATTAAGTTTTTTAATTAATTAGCAATTGTAATTATAATTTCTAATATGCTGACATGATTACAATCAGAGCTTTAATCCCCATATCTAAAGCAGAAATGCATTTCATAAGAGGACTGGTGACATGGTTACTTCAGCCCATTCTCCTCCTATACAAGCTGTTGTTTGGAAGAAGAAGAAGCTCCTGTAATAATAGCAGCTGTCACCAATCAGATGCTACTATTACCTCTACTTCTCCTCTCGATCAATCTGAACATCATCCTGATTCCTTACCCCTGCCGACGGGGGAGTATGAGGTTTTCTTGAGCTTTCGAGGTCTTGATACTCGTCATCAGCTCACTGATATTCTTTATCGTTTCCTCATCCATTTGAAAATTCGTACATTCAGAGATGATGACGAACTCCGCAAAGGCGAAGGAATATGGTCCAATCTCATCAAGGCCATTGGGCAGTCCAAAGTTTATATACCGATATTGTCGGAGAGTTATGCTCATAGCAAATGGTGTCTTAAAGAGCTTGCTGAAATTGTTGAACATCATAAGCGGAAAAAAGGACACATCATACTTCCTATTTTCTATATGGTTGACCCAAGAGACGTTCGACACCAAACCGAACCTTATCAAAGCGCATTTCAGCAACACGAGAAGGACTTCGATGTGAAAACCTTACAAATATGGAGAGATGCTTTGAATGAAGTTGGAACCTTAAAAGGATGGCACGTAAGGACCAAAGACGAGTAAGTAATATTTATGCTCTAAATTATATAAAGCATGAACTCTACATGACATTTGTTTAAATGTGCCACTCATTGATGGAGGTAGGAGTTGAAATTAGGTGTGTAATTTTTCAAAATATAAATTATTACTATTGGAGATTTTGTTTTTAGTATAATAAATCAATGTTATGGTAATCAAATAACAAGAAGTGATTTTTTAATTTTTAATGCAATGGCAAAATATCCTTATGCCACCTCAAAATTGTGAGTTAATGCTTTGCATAAACAAAAATGAGAATTTTTTTATTAACAAAATTACATGTGTCATTTGACAAGTCCAAAATACACTCCCTCCGACTATGATGGCACAACAATCAGTGGCGTAGCCAAAAATTGAAACTAGCTAGGTGTATGCTTTTTGCAGGATATAAATTATTTCAATTGAGAATCTCATTTTTGTTATTAAAAAAATTAAGTTATAACAACCAAATAACAAGAAGTGAATTTTAATACAGTAGCAAAATATCTTTATATCACCTCTTCAATGCAATCCGTTACACAAACAAACACGGACATTTATTAAAAAATTTACCAAAACTTTGCCTATGTTTGGCCCGGCTTTTAGAAGTGTTTTTTGGCTATAAAAGCTGAAGCATGACCAAACATCTCTAAAAGCTCGACTTTTGAAAAGCCGAAAAGCGCTTTTGTATATCATAAAAGTATAAGCTCCGATTGGGAGCTTCTGCGAAAAGCTGTTTTGAAAATACAAGATTATCCTTATCATAATTTAATTTTATTTCAGAAAATATAATTTTCCTTCATTTATATCATTTTAAAATAAAATAAATTATAAAATCATATTATTCAATATAAAAGAAATCTAACAAGATCCATTTCGACTACTTTTTATTGTTTAGAATTTGTATTCATATTTTATATTATAAGTCCTTTATAGTCATTTTACACAACCGCTCATATTAAAAAGCACTTCTAATAGTTTTACAGCCAAACACTAAACTGTTTTTTTTTTAAGTACTTATCTAAAAGCTCCAACCAGAAGCTGCTTCTGCAAAAGCTACAGCAAGGCAAACTAAACTTTTAATGTGTTCTGTGACCGAACCAAAAAGTTTTGGCTCCATCGATACTAGTGAAGTCAAGCCATACGTGCATTACAATTACAAAAACCAGAATATCCTAAAACACGGGTAAAATACATCGGGTGTCAATTAAGTTTGAGAATTGGGGTAGACATATCACTTAAGTTTAAATAGGGCGTGGGGTACCACTTAACTCTATTACATGTGCACCCGGTAAGACTTAAGTTTATTGTTAAGTGCATTTCGTTAAAGTTGACAGAATTTTCTTAGAATATTTCGTTTTATAAATTTCATAATTGGTCCTTCTACTTTACGTATTATAAAAAAATCATTTGGAGTTATAAAAAAACATCATTTTTTATTGTTTAGTTAGAATCCTCTTTTGAATACTTGATACCAAACCAATTTTGGAATAGAAAATTTAGAATTAATTATCATTATAATTATTTTCAATTATCATTTGTTCTAATAATTGAATTATTATTTCATGAATGATGTAACTTTGTATCTTTTACAGTCATATTTTCTTTTCTACATTTTTTACTAGTTTTTATATTTTATTGGGCTAATACCACTAAAAATACCAACCTTTAGCGAAAGTGTCATTTATATTACGAAACTATTGATATGACATTTGTATACCAAATCATCTTTTCCCGTTAGTTTGACTGTTATATTTAACTGGGAGACTAGTCAATGCCTAGTCAGTGCCTACCTGGCACACTGACGTGGAAATTATAACCAACCTATCTAATTTCCGCATTTAATTAGCAGAAAAAGATTTATAAAAAAAAAAAAAGATAAAGGTAAAATAAAAAAGGGGAAATTACACTTCCTCTTCGTCACTCTCGAAGAGAACTGAAGAACCTTATTCCTCTCCCTATCATCCCATCTCCACCAAAGCTTGACAGGAAAAGTATCAACGGTGCCGGATACTTGCTTTATCGGCAAATGGAACGATGTTGCCTCCCTCCGCCCACTGTTCTCCTTCTCCAAATCTCATCGATAGATCTAGATTCATCTCCTCATCCCTCATCTATAATCGAAAAAAAGGCAGATTAGACAGATTACGCAGAATCGAGAGGCGGAGGGAGATTTAGATCTAAATCCAGGGATCTGGTTGTCATTGTCGTTGTCGTCGACGCCGGGTTCCTCCCGCAGTTGCAGCGTCGTCACCGTCGAAGAGTGTCGGCCGTAAGAACAATAGATCAGTGAGCTGGGGGATCCACTTCCGTGATCGTTGTCGCCGCTCACCCGCGTTGCCAAGACCCGAGGAAGAAGCTGAATCGCGCGGCCGCAAATCGAGGAGTTGGGATCGTCCAAAGAAGCAGATGTGGCATGACTGCGTCGGCGGTGAGAGAAAGAGTGAACCCTGACTGTAAGGGTTGCGGAGGAGGGCAGAGGACCATTGTTTAGAAAAAAATTATTTAAAAACAAATTAATAATATTAATTATTTTTTCCGAAAATTAAATTAATATTTTCTAAATACTAATTTCCTACGTGGCACATATCTAGACAACACCTAAGAGCCACATAAGCAATAGTCAAATATAAGTTGACCACCGTCAGTCAACCGTCAATTCTAACAGTCAACAGAAATTCGCGTAACACAAATGACGCAAACCCCTAATACGTTGGAATGTTTTTGTGTTTATTGAAAGTACGTAATATAAATGACACTTTCGCTAAAGGATGGTATTTCCAGTGGTATTAGCCCTATTTTATTTATTATTTGGCAACTTTCCATCTATTTTCGTATAAACTTTTACAATTAGTGGAATATGTTTCATTCTTTCTAATCTGCGACTATAATTTTTAGAGGTTTGTCTAATTTTTCCCAATTTTTAATGGTTGCCCTTTTTGCAAAACAAAGTGTTTGCTCCTGTATCTATATATGCTAGAAAATCTTTGTTTTCAATGGTGACTTTTATAAATGTTGCATTTGGATTACTTTTAGTTAGTATCTTCTTCTGACTCATCTGAAGATACCTCTAAATCTGTAAGGTATTCAATTATATATATATCTGATATTTCAACGTCTGTTTCCTCTATAGGTTCAAATCCGCAATCGAAAACTATTCTTAGCACTTCTTGCTTTTTATTATTAGCGTTTTTCTTTGGACATTTATTAGCATAATGTCCTTCTTCATTACAAAGCCAACATCTACAATTTGGTTTACCTTAAGAACAATAATCTTTATTTCTTGTTTTTTGTTTATATTGTTTTCTATTTCTGAAATATTTATTAGGATTTCTATGCTTATTTTTTCTATATTCTTTATAAGGTATTTTTCGCCATTTTTTATACCTTTCATATTTTTTCGTTTTTTCTTTATCCTTTGGTTTTCACTGTTACATCCGTATTTTCCTATTTTATCTGAGAAATCTTCACAACAAAGATCAATTTTTGCTAGTTTTTTCAATTTTTCTTCATTACAGGCTCTTTTATGCCATTCTTGTAATGTTAAAATTCGTCCTCCTAAAGTATCTGGTACTACCACTTTCTGAACTGCTTCGTTGAAGGCAGTTTCTACTTTTTCTTATACTATTAGTGATAATTTAGAAAAGAATAATTTGTCCAAGTCTTTTCGTGACGATGGAATAACTTGATAGTAATGTATTTTAAATTCACAAATGAATAACACATATTACAGATTCTTAAATTTGTTAAGTGCCAAATAGCTTGTTTACTCAAGGTTGCATTGTTCTCTCTCTCTCGTGGATATCTTCCTAGGAATTCATAGGTTAAGGCATTTAATATTTTTTCAAAAGTTTTTATGACATCGTCTCCGTAAAGAAATGTTTTTGTTGGAATATCCATTGTACTTAGATAGTGATAAACTGCTCCAGTAGTTTTATATATTATGAAATTAAATATTTCACTAGCCTGTAATTTATTAAATCTTCATTAGTTTGAATTAATAGTCATGTTCGATTTTTCCAATCTTCTAGTTCTTTCAAAGTATTAGTACTACAATTTAGATCTAAAATATCTGGGCTATTATAACTTGTTGTGGAATATTTTGGAATATATGAGTGGAGAATTTTAGTCCATCCTCCCTCCCTACGGGTAGCATAATAATTTTTATAAAAATATTCATCGAAAGATATTTGTCCATCGTTGTATTCATTAAACCTTCACTTATATGTTTTTGATTGATTTGTTTGCGAGTTTTCTCCCTTTTCGGTACTATAAAAAGAATTGCTTTCAGTTTTGACATAATTTGTATAATGATTTTCATCACTACTATAATCTAAAACTACCTTTTCGTTCTTGATCTTTTCTTCATTCTCGGACTCAATGCTTAAGTCCATTAGTAAATCATTTAGTTTGTTAATATTTTCGTCAATAGTTGTCATAATGTATAAGGTGCAACAATAGTTAATTTTTCAGAAATTTTATGATTTTTCAAACATTCTTTCATATCTTCGATAGTAAGATATCGTGTATTTTCTAATATAACTATTATTTCTTGAAGGTTTATTATTATTTTTCTAAGATTTTCTTCTGGTAGTATTTCATTTTCTTCAATATTAGAGTTTACAATAGCTTTTTCTTTATTCTTTATTTGACGGATAATATTGTCTATTATATTCTAAACTATTTCGAGATCGGAATATAATTCTTTATGTTTTTTATTCACTTGGTATACTAATATTGTTCTTAAATGTTTATTATTTTATTCTAATGTATTTATTATGACTTCTTGATATTCATTTATCTGTTTTCCAAGTTTTTTTATTTTTAAAGATATATTTTCTGTAGTCATTAATACTTATGATGATATTGAAGACTTTGAGCATCATTTAGTAATTGTCTTTCTAGTACTATAAAATTTCTCTCTAGTACCTTAATGACTACAGAGAATTTTATAAGATAAGGGTGTAGGAACAGAAAATTTCTCTTGAGTGGAGATTTGTTGTTAT